AGTTGAAACAAGAGAACTGTTTGAGATTCAAAATTGCTATTTTTAAAATTTGCATCAATGAAAGAAGTTATAAATCAAGAATTAGCATTGGTTTTTCAACTTGGTGGAATTTAGGAATTAAGTTCAACGGGCTTAAAACTATCAGGATACCTTTGAGATAAAAAATAATAAGAATAAGAATAATCTTGTACCAGGTTTGTCATTTTGTAATGAACCACAAAAAGGCTTCACAAGGAAGAACTCATCTGCTGAAAGAAGAAGCCTGGGAGAGATTCTGTATCAGGACAGAACCCAAAGCAGAAATTCAATAGCTGATAAAATAAAGGGAGAAAACTGTATTATTGTAAATTTATATTTGCTGTTTTTGTCAAAGACAATGCAACCTAACTTTTGCAACAATAATAAAGTCCATTTTATGCTTTTTGTTTTTCATTTCACAACCTTTACTGTCGCTGCTCTCTGTTGTTTTTGCACATTTTATGAAAATATTCAGAAGGTTAAAGGTTGAGCATGTCGGTGTCTGGTATTTCATTTCTCAGCGACAGTTTCTTTGACTACAGGCTGAATAAAGCGTCTCTGTCTCGGTTTTTGTTTGGAATCAGGCACGAATGCGTCGGCAGCAGATCAGCTCAGTCTGGCTCTGGCCTGGAACAGAGTGGACATCGCTCGTAATCACATATTTGTTTATGGGCACAACTTACCAGTGAGTTGTTCTGACACATTTACCAGTAAATTCAAATATTTCACAATTATAAAGCACATTATATTATTTATTAAACTATCTCAGGGGGGAGAACAGAGGGATCTGTTTAAATCAGGTTGATAAAGCCGTCTTTTAAACTCAATGTTTTGCTTATAATCAAGTTAGTGAATTTAAATCACCATTATTGGCTGACAAAAACAGTATGAGCTTGGCTATTACCCAAGTTTGATATGAATTATGATATAAAAAAGATTGAAACGTTTGTGCCACTTAAGACATGAGCTACCGTACAGCTTTCTTCTTCTTCTATGATTCCTGTCTGGTCAGCCTGCCGGAGCCATCGCCAACACAACTTCAGCAGCCATGACTCAGGAGAAACCAAAGAGCCCGGTCGGTTCTCGCAGCAAGGTTCGGGCAAAAAAAGGGAAGGGGAAGGGAAAGGCAAAACCTGAACCTCCAGAAGAAACCGACCCAAGAAAACTGGAGCTGATTCGCTGGGTGGGGAGCAGTTTTATAACTCTTTAAGGGGACGTTTGAAGGGACAGATAGGCTCACTGAGGTCTTCTTGCAGGTGAACTCTCTGGAGCAGGCGATGATGGATGCTCTGGTGTTGGACAGAGTGGACTTTGTCAAACTGTTGCTTGAGAACGGAGTCAACATTCATCATTTCCTCACCATCCCAAGGCTGGAGGAGTTATACAACACAGTGAGTCTGATAAACAATTAGGAGACAACGAAGCGGTTCTTCATGTTCTGATGGAAAACTGCACGTCGACACAGAAAATCTGCAAAGTGTGTAGAATATTTCTTCTCTCCTTACTTTTCTCAGAAACTTGGTCCTGCAAACACACTGCACGTCATAGTTAGGGATGTCAAAAAGGTAAAACAGCAATTCCCGTGATTTCAAACATCCAGCATTTTAAATTTTAGACTATTTTATCTTTCAAGTGACGCAATAAAAAACAATATTTTGCCAACTTTTGCAGGGAAACCTTCCTCCAGATTATCAGATCACTTTGATTGACATAGGTCTGGTCCTGGAGTACCTCATGGGTGGAGCTTACAGGAGTAACTACACAAGGAAGGCTTTCCGCAACCTGTACAACAATCTGTACGGGCTAAAAAGGGTATGGATGTCTAAATGAAAAGACTCGTTCAACATCTTAAGTGTTATCTGATATCAAGCTCATTTTTCTGTTGTCTTCTCACAGCCAAAAGCTTTGAAGCTCCTAGGAATGGAGGTAAGATTTTAACACTCAAATGTTCTCAGACAACCACAACAAACTCTCCTATGGCTTTCCTTTGTCTGTTAGGATGATGAACCAAGGCCAAAAGGCAAGAAAAAGCACAAAAAGAAGAAAGAAGAAGAGGTGGAAATTGATGCGGATGACCCTGAGGTGTGTCGATTCAAGTATCCCTTCCATGAGTTGATGCTGTGGGCCGTGCTGCTGAAACGCCAGAAGATGGCACTGTTCCTATGGCAGCGTGGAGAGGAGGCCATGGCAAAGGCCTTGGTGGCTTGCAAACTGTACAAGGCCATGGCCCACGAGTGCTCCGAGAGCGAATTGGTGGATGACATCTCCCAAGACCTGGAGAACAACTCCAAGTCAGTGCTACAGCAAAACACAGTCCGTCTTTACCCATGCTGCTGAGCATGACACAGTGTAGTCTCTGAACATATTTCTATGAGATGAAAGAAGTAGTGTGTTTTTTTCTTGGGATCCCTTTATAGAGAGTTTGGCCTGTTGGCTTACGAGCTGTTGGACCAGTCCTACAAGCACGATGAGCAGGTGGCCATGAAGCTCCTGACATATGAGCTGGTCAACTGGAGCAACTCCACCTGTCTGAAGCTGGCAGTTGCCGCAAAGCAACGAGATTTCATCGCTCACACGTGCAGCCAGATGTTGCTTACAGACATGTGGATGGGCTGCTTACGGATTGGGAAAAATCCTGGCCTAAAGGTTGGGAATCTTTATCTGTCTCTGCTGTGATCAGCAGGTGTAGATTTAACAAATTATTTGACAAAATAATGATGATCAACATAAAATTTGATATTTTGCAGGTTATCCTGGGAATCATTTTGCCTCCATTGATTCTACTTTTGGATTTCCGTATTGGAGATGATGCTTCCTATCAGGGACATGGAGACAAAGATGAGGGGAAAGACAAGGACGACGATGCAAAATCCAGCAAGGTCCCAGTTCAGGGTGACATATTTAATTTGGTTGCTGATCATGTAAAAGTTTCCAATAAGAAACTTAACATTGTTGCTTTAGGATCCCAGCGCTGATGCAGCTTCCCGGAAGGGGGACGAAGAGGAAGGCAGTGCTAATGTTCGCAAAATTCCCATTGGGCGAAGGTTGTTTGAGTTTTACGACGCGCCGTTCACCAAATTCTGGTTCAACACTGTAAGTTCCTTCAAAGACACTGACTTTAAACATTTATGGTGGGGGAGATCTCACAATATAACCAGTCTTCTTCTGCCAGATTTGCTATCTGGGTTATTTGATGATGTATAACTACATTATCCTGGTGAAGATGGAGCGATGGCCAACTATACAAGAGTGGACAGTCATTGCGTACATCCTGACGCTTGGCACAGAAAAAGTCCGACAGGTATAAAATCTAATACAGTTTCCTTGATGATATTCTTTTATGTTTAATTGGACTAAGCTAGATCTACAATATTTGGTGTTTAGATCCTGATGTCAGAACCAGGGAAGCTAAAGCAAAAGATAAGTGTGTGGATGGAGGACTACTGGAACATCACAGACCTAGTTGCCATCTCCACCTTTCTTCTGGGGCTGATGCTCCGGCTGCAGCCTGAACCGTACATGGGCTACGGCAGAGTCATCTACTGTATTGACATAATCTTCTGGTATATCCGCGTGTTAGACATCTTTGGAGTCAACAAGTACCTTGGACCATATGTGATGATGATCGGGAAAATGGTAGCAATAATAAAACCATGGGAAAATGTCACAACAGACATAAAAAGTGCATGATGAGTGCTAACGTTGCATTTGTTTCAGATGATTGACATGATGTACTTCGTGGTGATCATGCTGGTGGTACTCATGAGCTTTGGCGTGGCTCGGCAAGCCATCCTTCATCCAGATGAAGAGCCAACGTGGCGTCTGGCCCGAAACATTTTCTACATGCCCTACTGGATGATCTATGGGGAGGTTTTTGCCGACTCGATAGACCGTAAGACTAGAATTCATAGTAAGATTCTGTTTCCTGATTCTGGGCAGATGATCAGTGTTTATTTAAAACTCGTCTCTATCTTTCAATTTTTGGGCATTTACATCAACAAAAAAAAATCACAGTGATCCTTTAATACTTTGTCTCTCTCTGCTGGTGGATTTGTACTGCATTCATGGCAAAAATGTTGGATTAGAAACAGAATGAGCAGCATCAATGTTCTGAGTGATGATCATCTGCCTTTACAGTTTTATTTTTCATGTGAATGTTACTTTTGTCAAGGTGAAGGTAGCAAAAGAATTTAAAAAATGCAAACAAAAGTACAAAGCCTAAAATTTCATTGCTAATACAGTATATATATATATATATATATATAAAGTAAAAATATATCCATCAGTTTATAAAACCACATACACAGTTTTAATCTGTTCTCCTAGCTTAAAAAAAACTGAGAGCTAATTATCACAACCTTAACATGGAAAAATTAATGTATTTATGAATTTAGGATTTGTTTTAAATGTGAAATTTTTACTTTTAATGGAAGGGGATACTTGGTTAAATAGGTTTTTACATTGTCGTAATTGGAATGGGTAGCTAAAGGTCTTCGATGCAACTGTATATTATTATATTTAGGAAAGAGACGTAAAATAAGAACAAAGGCAACTTTATGTCAAAAATGCCATTTTTTCATTTCTAAACTTTGTTCTTTCAACTAACCCATCATTCAATTGCCAATATGATATTTAGCCCTGATCAATATATGACATCATCCTTAGATAGAGAACTTTACTAATTGGCTTTTATGTATGTGAATGTTCCTGTAAAGTGCCCCGAGACAACTTTGTTGTGATTTGGTGCTATATAAATAAACTGAATTGAATTGACATCTTTTTGGGGAACGGCTTTGCTCATATCAGAAATCCAACAGCAAATCATGTTTTGTATGTACAAGAACAGCTGTAGCTCTTAAAAACAAGTAGAACACTCATAAGCCTGCAGGAAACAGGAATCATAGGAAAGGACAAAAATAATGTAAAGACCTGATTTTTTAAATGCAGTTTAAACAGAATATTAAACAACAAAACTATGTAAATCCAAAAACAGTTAACCTTCTCATGAAAAAACTTACTGAGTGCTGTTAGACTAAAAGATGACACAACTCCAATTTTCAAAGTACATGTGTATGATTTGAAGTTCAAACTCTTCGGTTTGTGTTCACATTTAGACTGTTTTAAATTTAGATTAGCTCTCAACAGTTTGAATAGACAGATTAGTGCCCCATCCTTTCATTAACATCAGCTTCACCTTGACAGAAAAACAAATGGAAAAACACCCTCTGGTTTTTGATGCTAACACTCTCTTTGTTTCTGTGGAACTGCGGTTTTCTGGGATTGTTTTACAAGTCTATGCAATGGAAATAAATCGTAAGTAGTCTTTAAGTCAAGGATGTTTCTTCTTATTTGTGTCCTTTAGTTGTAATGAAAAGTATTGCCATTACCTTCTTTCCACACAGCTCCATGTGGAGAACATTTATACGATGAAGATGGGAAGAAACTTCCACCATGTATCCCCGGGGCCTGGCTCACGCCTGCCATCATGGCTTGTTACCTACTTGTGGCAAACATCCTTCTGGTCAACCTGCTCATTGCGGTCTTCAAGTACATAAATATTCCTCCAAACATCTGCCTGACCTGAAACATCCATGTGCACTCACCAGTTTGAATTTTCTCTCCATCGCAGCAACACCTTTTTTGAAGTCAAGTCCATTTCCAACCAGGTGTGGAAGTTTCAAAGATACCAGCTGATCATGACCTTTCACGACCGTCCCATTCTGCCTCCCCCTCTCATCATCCTCAGCCACCTCTACATCCTCTTCAACAGGCTGTTTCGACGCTGCGTGAAGAAGAAGCAGGAGGGAGAGCTGGACGAGAAGGACCGAGGCCTCAGTAAGTCTCACTTATCCATACGTGTCAGAATCATAATGGTTACATACACTAAAGATCGAGAACATCCCTTAACCTCGTTGTAGGTGGCAACACAAATACTATGGTTGCATTTTATCTAACGAGTCAAAGAAAATGAATTTTAAATTGTCTCATTGTTCAATTTAGAGCTCAGACTGAATCCAGAAGAGCTAAAGAACCTGTATGAGTTTGAAGAACAATGCGTGGAGGTATATTTTCGTGAAAAAGAAGATGAGCAACAGTCGTCAAGTGATGAGCGCATCAAGGTCACCTCAGAGAGGTAAAATTCCTCCACTTTTGTTTTTGATTCAAAGCACTCAGCAGTTTTTAATCTTCGTCATTTCCCTGGCAGAGTTGAGAACATGTCGATGCGTCTTGAGGAGGTGAACGAGAGGGAGAACACCATGAAGGCATCCCTGCAGACAGTTGATCTGCGTCTGGCCCAGCTAGAGGAGCTCCACGGTCGTATGGCAGCTGCACTAGAGAAGCTTGCAGGAGTGGACAAGCAGGAGCTGACCCGAACCTTCTCACGAAACTCGTCCGTGAATGACCCTTCCTGCCTCCTTCGCCAGGGCAGCATTAACAGCGCTGACGGTTACAGCCTTTACCGCTTCCACATGGACATGGAAGAGTTTGCATCCAAGCAAAAAGACTCCGAAGAGAAAGGCGGCCTCGAGAGACAGCGCAGTTTGCGACAAGCTGCCAGCACATGCGCCCTCTACACCAAGGAAGGTGGTCAGACTCTAGAGGTTGGTGGTTTGGAGAGATCACAAGCCAGTTCATGTGTGGACATTCTCATATCTCCGTGTGAACAAAAGCCAGCTTCTGGGGCATCAAGTCAAGAAACTATAGCCAACATGAAGCAAGGCAGCACAATGCTGTTGGATAAACTAATGGACAAAAACAGACTAAAACCTTTATCCCCTCCTAAAAGGACTAAGTCGCTTAAACACTTTCCAGCTGACGAACAACCCACATCTCCTTTGACGAAGAGAAGAGCTATGAGCACCATCACTGTCCACCCTCCTGATAATCCAGAGGAAGCTGGTAAGTCCACAGGGAAAGCTAGCCGTCCCAAAATGGCCTCGTCTCCAAGAAGAGAAAAATCTCTGAGTCATCTTCCAACAGAAAGCCAGAGTCAGACATCTCCCATCTTTAGAAAGAGGACTATGAGCAGCCTCGTGTACAACCCAGCTGATGCAGACGATAGCATTCAGACAAAAAGTCAAAATCAGTGGTCAGCAAATCAGGAGTTCAGCGTCCATCCAAGTGCTTTAAGTCTCATGCCTAAAGTATCAACAGTCCAGCACCTTACACCGCAGTACCACACTGCCACCACACTTACAGAGTATGAAAATCTGAATAATGCTTATGCACTTCCTTCAGAAGCTGAAGAAAGGACACCACAAATGGAACAAGAGGACAACCAAGTGGGAACAAAGGCCAAGCGAAACCCCTCAGACGCCGCGGACTATCTGACGGTAACTGATAAAAGCCATTTGCGATCCTACAGGTCGCAGAGCTGCAACGCAAGCGACAAAAAAGGGAAGCTCTTCGTGTCGTCAAAGGAACCGAGAGCCTGCAGCAGTGAGCGGGACCTCACTAGAACAACTAGAGCTTCAGCCGTCGGACCAGAGACGGAGAGAAAGAAGATGATGGAGGCAGGAAAGACGGAAGACGGTGCGCCACGAGAGGAATGAAAGCAATACATAACAGAGAGGCACAAACTGACTTCAACAAGCAACAGTTCAATAAAGAGACACATGACTGATTTGAACATCAATGAGAAACTCCTAAAATATTTCAGGACTACATGAAAGAAAAAAAACAAACGCTTCGAATGAATATTAATTTCCTTTACTGTTGCTACTAACATACAAGAGCCTACAGGACATAATCAACAAAACAGTAGTCTTCACCGACTGTTTTCAGGTTGGACGTGTAAAGAACCTAACGTCTTCTCTTTTAGGAAAGAATTAAAAAAAAATACATGCATACACAATGTGAACTGTAAAAACACGACGTTTGGCATTTTTTATACACCTTCTGTAAACATTTTTTTGTCCTCTTAAGATTCTGTGCTTAATAATGACCCCTCAAGAGTTTCCTACATCTTTCATGCAAATGCAAATACAAATAATAATAATAATAATAATAATAATAATCCTGAAAGAGTATGTTTTCAGTGCAACTTCCTCTGGGCAAAAAAACAAACAATTTCTTACACTGTATGTTTTCAACACTAAAACTTGTATAAATAGTTCAAATGTAAAAAATAAAAAAGGAGAGGGGAAAAAAAGTCCTGGTTTTTTTTTGTCTGATTTATCAAAACTCTGAAGATTCTTTGAGGTCAGGATAATGTCTGTGCAACAAAAGGCCATAAGCGTAATAAAAACAAAAACAAGAAACAAAAATGTTCACAAATACAATCAATGCTGAGACTTGATATATTCGTGTCACAGCATTATAATAAAAATCTGGCAATAGGTAGAACGTATAAAATGATGCTACGATACGAAAGAGTAAGACAACAGTGTGCCACTGATATGGTTTCATGTCAGCCCACTGTGAGCAGGCACTGCAAGGTCAGCTACAAACCACCGCGGCAGGTCTTTTGCATCTTTCCCCATTTTTTGTTCAGGTAATTAGGGCGGCAAGTCAACCGCCCACAATCCGGTGACCTCAGGTGGCGATAAGACCTCCTGATGATGAGCAGAGTCGTCGCCGCTGCAGTCAGGAAGGCCAAGAGGCGGAACAGGGTCACAGCAGAAACGTGGAAATCGTAAGCCGGCAACTTACACGAGCGAACACTTGAAGAACTTGATCCTCTTTGATTTTTTATCGGTGATCTTGACAGGTTTTCCCGATCCATCGCCGTTGCTGTCGGCCTAAAAGGGAAGGAAACGGCAGCGAGTTAGTCAGAAGAAGGTGCTGCATCTATTTTAGGAACGTCTTCACTACTTACGGTCTTGGAGCGCAGGTTGTGTAAGATGTCTTTGGCCACCGTATAAAAAGCCTTGGGCAAAAGAACGAGAAAAGCAAATCTTTATTTGACCAGAAATAGTTGATCCTGTGTGAGAATTTATGAGTATTCAAACTTTCGTCTAACCTCTTCTACATTTAGGCCAGACTTGGCACTGGTCTCCAAGAACTTCACTCCGTAATCAATAGCCAGCTAAATGGAAATTTAAATAACATCAGTCACTACAAATTACAAAACTATTTGCCTTTGAAGGCTTTTTAAGTCATGACTCACCTTTTCACCTCTGTCTTTAGACACCTGTCTCCTGTCAGTCATGTCACATTTGTTACCCAGGATCATCTTCTCTATGTCAGATGAGGCATGCTGCGAAACAGAGATTTTATTTTATTTTTTTTACAAACGTGGTTGTTTCATAGAAATACAACTTTAGCTGGTAATCTAAAGTCTAAACTCACCTCTTCAATATTCCTAATCCAGTTTTTGATGTTGTCGAAGGACTTCTCGTTGCAGATGTCATAGACCAACATGATACCCTGCAAAGAAGCAAAAGAAAAAGCACGAACCATGACATGAAGGACAAAGGCATCTTCACAGAAGTAAAGTTTGAGAAGCAGGGACTCACCATTGCTCCTCTGTAGTAAGCTGTAGTTATGGTGCGAAACCTCTCCTGTCCTGCAGTGTCCCTGAATGCATCAAAAAGATGCTGCTCAAAAAGGAAGCATTTTCTCTCAAAAAGTACTTTCTTTCACTTTGCTTCTTCTTTTTATTTTTAAAAAAAGGGGAACATTCACTCAAATGTCACTCTCACCAAATCTGGAGTTTGACTCTCTTTCCTTCCAGCTCTATTGTTCTGATCTTGAAGTCTATGCCTGTTTCAAAAGAAAAGGTCACATCATTCTCACACCATCACTTATAGTCTGACAAAATATGGCAGAATATCATCTGAGATAAAGCTATAATAAAATAAGTATTAATAGGTTGCATTAGTAATATATATAGTAGTGATGGATGTGAGCTTCCATATAATTATAATCTGGAATCAACCAGCCAGTGTATTATTGGACAATACGAGCATTACTAGCTGTCAGTGGGTCAACAAACAGTAGTAATAAATAAATGTGTCTCCTTGGAGTGTCCGCAGGGCATACTCGCCTATTGTGGAGATGAAGGTGGTATTAAAGGAATCCTCGCTGAACCTGAACAGCAGACATGTCTTTCCGACGCCGCTGTCTCCGATGAGCAGCAGTTTAAACAGATAGTCGTACGTTTTCGCCATTTAAACAACCCGCTGGGCTCCGACGCGTTGGGTTCGGAAAGGCCGTTCGGTGCCGGCTGCGTTTGGCCCGTGTTGAAATCCACAGCTGTCGTTTGTCGAGGGAAACACGCAGACTGCTGCCAGGCAGCGCAGAGAGGCTCGTGCCGGAGGGTGGTGACGTCAATGTTCGCTTTGCACCATGGGCGATGTAGTTTCAGATGACGCGGCGGTTTGAAGCTAACCTGCAGAGTTCGCTAATGTAGCTGTATTTTTTTTTATTATTTTTAAACCTTTACAAGGAAAGAAATGTTCTGGGCATGTATGTACTGATGGCGATAGTTAAAACATACATCTATTTCTTTACTTTAAAAAAATTATACCTTGAATTTCAAATGTATTTTTTTTATTTACTACACGTCTAATTTTGAAGGAAAACTTAAGTGTTGTAAGCTTTGTTAGTTATGCTTTACTAAAACGTTAATTAAATAAATTGAAGTTAAGAAACTATGTTAACAAAATATGTTTCAGTTAGGGGGAAAATAAAATAAAAATACATAAAAAAAATTGAAACCTTAATTATTCATAACACCAACAGCTTGCTGTATTTTACTGAAATATTTAAATATAAAATGCTCTCTGAATCAGAAAGTTAAAAATATACTTTTTTTTTCTGTTAGGGTACTTTGCAGTTTGGTGCGACACCAAAGCTTCTGAGACCTAAAATATTGCTAGAGCATTACTATTATTGTTTTTTGGTTGGTTTTTTATTTTCAAAATGTGCTACTTTGACTAAGATTATCTGAAACTAAACTTAATTGTTCCTGTCGAATCAGAAAATACTTGCAAATAAATCAAAAGTTGTGGAATATTTTTAAAAATAAAAGTTCCCTCTCCTGGATCCAAGCACAACTTCCTGATTTGTTTGTATTCATCTGAAATACAGTTAATAGCAGAATATACACATATACAGTATGTATAATGTATTTGAAGGCTGTAAATAAGTTACACTCTAAGGGAGTCTTTTAAAGTACTTCAGTTAAAGTTGATTTAAGTGCAGATAAATTTATTTCTAGCCACAAGATCATGACAGGCAGGCTTCAAGTTTTTTCTTCTGACTCAGTCATTTTGAAGGTATTGTACACATTTCAGTATTTTAATAAAAATAAAAGTGCAGTCATTGCGTTGATGCATAATTTAGTTCCCCATTTAGACACTTAAGCAATTTTAGACACTACACGTTTCAAGTAAAACTGGTGTCATTTCTTCTTGGGTTGTGGTGAGAACAAAGTGTTCAGTCATGTGCAGTCACATGTTGCCGCTCTCGGAGGAAGTATTAAAACATTTGTTTTTTCATAGAAATTGCCAATTTAGCATTTTTCATTGTGTAAAGTCCAACTTTATGCAACAGATAACCAAGAGATGTTAAGTCAGTAAACATGCCATAATAGTTCAAAAGTATTTTATTCAACAGGTTTAAAATATTTGTCATAACAATCGACCTTCACAGAAAGTATACAAAAATTGTCCTTTCAGCTTTTGAGCAGAAACATTTGGGTGATAATTATGTACACAAGGACAACACGGAAACAAAAATACAGCTTCTTATATTTGGAGCATACAGCTCTGTGTGCATGTTTGTATCAAAGATTAAAAAAAAACAACAACAACTTAAACTAGCAGTGAAAAAGTGAAGGGGAGGTTGAATCATGAACAAATATAAAAAAAGGACTTTAACTACACTCTACATTCAGTGGGTCTGACACTGCACCCCTCCTCTGGGCCCGTCCTCATCTTCCTCGTACACCTCCCTGCTGTAGTGTTTCTGCTGAGAACTGAGCTCCACCTCACAGAGGTCCACCTCCTCCATGTCGTCGCTCATCATCACTTCCTCTCTGGGAGGAAGCAGCCTTTCCAGCTGGAACATGAGATGCTCTGGGAGCCAGTGTTTTTCTGGGAACTCCACCTGAGGAATAAATTGTCATCATCGTTTGTTTGACAGGTGACATGTGAGCGCACTGTAAAGAGAAAATGTTCAACATCATACCTGGAACTGAATGATGAGCTGTCCCTTTTCATAAGGATCCCTGTACAGTGGCATGCCCTCGTTCTGGATGCATTTGACGTCGTTGTGTTTGATGACGTCACCTGAAAGTATTACAGACGTTAATAATATATTCACAAGTACCACAGAGCGTGGCGCTGGGCTGTTGCAGGTTCTGTACCTGGTTTTGTGCTGACGATGAGCGTTCTGTTGTCTAATGTCTGAACGGTCTTACTGAAGCCACACAAGGCCTCTACAAGTCTGATGTCCATCTTCATGACCAAGTCGTTGTCTCGTCTCTGGAAAACTGGGTGTTCCTTCTGATCCAGGACAATTACTACATCTCCAGGCTCCAGTCCAGGCTCCTGGTCACCCTCTCCATGAAACGTGATTTTCTGACCATCTTTCATACCTGATGAGAAGCATTTATGTTGCTCAACACTTTCTGCTCATCAAAATACCTGAGTATCTGAGGTCAAAGTATCTTACCTTTGTCAATGTGAACCTCGAGAATCTTCTTCTTGCGTTCTACTTTGAGTCCGTTGCAGCTCTTGCAGCGGTCCTTAGAGCTAAATTTTTCCCCCTGTCCCTGGCAGTCAGAGCACATCGATTGGATCTGCTGAATCATGCCTGGCCCCAGCTGTTGCACTCTGATCTGCACACCTCTTCCTTTGCACGTTGAGCACTTCTCCAAGGCACCCTTTTTACCACCGTAACCTGTGATTAAAAACACAAAGCTCATTTCTTCTGACACCAGTAGATGTGATTTTATTTTGTTGAATTAAATCAAGCACTTACCGTCACATTTCTCACAGATGACATTCTTCTGAAGCCCGAGTTTCCTTGTTGAACCATTGTACATTTCCTCCAGTGTAACAGCAAGCTGATGAACAACATTCTTCCCTACAGATAAATAAAATATATGCACATGTTAAACCTTTTTATTCTCTACAACATCCTGAGTCAGTTCTTAAGATTTTGAAATCATAGCATACCTCTCCTCTCCCTCTGCATCCGTCCTCCACCTCCAAAGAACATGTCAAATATGTCCATTGGAGAAGCTCCTGAGTTCATGCCTCCCTCTTTGATAGCTTGCTCCCCTCCTTGGTCGTACAAGTCCCTCTTCTTGGGATCTGATAGCACTTCATATGCCTGGGAGATGAGCTTAAACTGTGAAAACAAAGTAAAAAAATTGAACTCTTCACATAAAAACTACAGTACATACCAAATACCAGTTTTTTTCATACACTAAAGTCCCTCTGATAGTCTGTTCACTGAAAAAGAATATATTATTCTTAAAGTGATGTTTTGTTTACATGTTACGTGTATAAAAGGTGGTATCTCATTGGGGAGCAACTAATTAGAGAAAGGGTTAGTGACGGAGTCTCCAGAATGTTTTGAAATGTTTACGGCGAGTTAATTTCCTAGCACGAGTCACAGAAGCTTTCAGTCTTATTCACATTTTGAACATGTTAAAAAAAAAAAGTGCAACATATTTTCACACGTCTTGTATTTTACGATCTGAATTGTCTTGAGCATTTCCAACCCAAGAGTCCGGGAGTTCTCATTAACAAACAACAACAACGATAATGCATTTTATTTGTTAGCGCCTTTCAAGACACTTCACAACATTAAAAACACAAAATAAAACAATACAAAATGGCTATAAAAACACTAATCCAAGAAGAAAATAAAAAATTAAAGTGAGAAGGCTAACTTGAACAGATGAGTTTTGAGTTGTGATTTGAAGGTCTGAAGGGAGTCAATATTACGGATGTCTGGGGGAAGAGCGTTCCAGAGTTGGGGGGCAGAGTGAGAAAAGGCTCTGTGTCCCGTGGTGCTGAGGCGGACGAGAGGCACGTTGAGGTGAATGGAAGAGGAAGAACGAAGAGAGCGTGAATGGGTGATAATGGAAACATCCCATGCTGACAATAATGACTGAAAAAAATAAATCTACTCTTAAATCTGCCTGTCTTCATTTCAAGTGTACCGCAGCAAATTAAATCACAAATATGAGGAAGGCTGCTAGATTTTCTCGCAATTCTGAGAATCTAACACATCTTTAAACAGTAGCAGCCCAGTGAGACTTATGTCTTTCTGACCAGGAGGGGCAGCAAGTTTATGGGCAGGATGGGGAGCAGTGCCACCCCTGGACCTCCCTAAAAGTGTATAAGTGCCATGTGTTGTCATCATTGTATGCTCCCATACAATGACAAAATTAGTTCTCTGCTGTTAACACACCACACCTGAGATCAGTGTTGCCAAGTCTGCTTATTTATTATAAATGACTTTGGGCTTATTTTTTTCTAAAGTCGCTTGTTAATCTTGAGTCGCGGGTTGTGGTTTTTTTGGGCTCATTTTGAACGCAAGTTGCTTATTTGGGCTGGACTTTCTTTCCAAGTGAAACTAGTTGATTATCTCCCAGCTCCGCACAATAAAGCAAAAGACGAGTGGTAGTAGGTAGTTTGTCCCTTCCGCGCCCCCGTTTCCTGTTTATCGCTCCGCCCAAGTTGGCGAGGTGACAGACCCAAACACTCATACTGTAGCCGACCACTAGTGGGCTCCACTCACACGCAGATGTCAGAATGTCGTTTTTTAAAAATTACGTAGAAAAAATATGATTTTTGGCATAAAAGTATGTTATTCGAACTGTTTTGCATAATTTTGCTGTTTATATGTAATGCCATAACAAATGTATGTTTATACTGTTTTAAAAACGGCCTCTGTTTTACACATTGTGGTGGGTTGCCAGTTGGGCTTGTTTTCATGCTTATTTCTATCGTGAGATCTGGCAACACTGGGTAGAGGGCAGCTGCCCCAGAGGCAATTAGGGATTAGATGTCCAGCTCATGAACACCACGACATGTGCAGCATAGCAGGGAATACCACTTGTCTTTCTAGTCCCGAGTTGGCTGCCCTACCTCTAAACCGTCTGTGCCTCATAAATCCTGTGGCTGCCTTAGAGCAGAGAGGTTAATTTAGGAGCATTTTGCAGAAGTGGAGGGGAAAAGGCCAAATATATCATGTAAAAGCACAGGATTACTGGTTTGTTTGAGAAAATAACGTCAGAAGAATGTGATCAGGTACTTCAGCCCTGAGGCTCTCAGATTTCCCTGCAGCAGCAGCTGTGGTCTCGATGCTTCCAGAAAGTTCCAGTGGTTCAACTGCACGTTGTGTTACCAACAGCCGCTAACGGACGTCTGGACGCCGTAACACAAAAAATACGTTTCATTAAAACAAAAACTCAGCATGTCTCTTACCTTTTCTCCCTCGTTCGGATTCTTGTCGGGGTGATATTTAAGCGCCAGTTTTCTGTACGCTTTTTTGATTTCGCCCATCGACGCTTTCGGGCTGACACCGAGCAGATCATAGAAGCCCGTTTCGTGAACCATTTTGACGAATCTGTGAAATAATAAAGCGAACAATACACATTTATTAACCTTATATTCTTGTGGTATTATCCCGACCCGGCTGCGTCAAGAAACTACGGCAACCGGCACGTGCGATACATCAGTTGGAGAAAAAAAAAAACTGTTCCGAAATGTTCGAGCTTTTTAGCTAAATAAAGCTCGAAGCTGCAGCGGAGGAACTCACTTTCTCTGTGTTTCCGAGCTAGAAGGAAGCTTGACGGGTTTACTATCTGTCTGTGGCTGACAGGAACAGCACGACCGGTTCTTATAGCAGCACCGCTCGATGTCAGAACTTTCTGGAGGGCTGCTATGAGAAACCGGAAGTGACGTACTGCGACGTTGGCTCACCGCATGGAGTCTCGAAAAGTCCAGAACACGAAAAAGGAGGCGCTGTCTTGACCCAGTTCCTTCTGGGGGTTGTATTAATTTCATATGAAGGGCAGTGGGTGACTGACTTTTCAAGGATGTTATGTAAGACACAGCTAAAATAAAAATAAATAGGTGGATAGTGTTGCTCTTACATAAAGAGCATATTTAGCAAGTAGCTGAAGCCTTAAATAGTTTTAGCTGTTCTCACACGTTAAACAATGTTTGGGCTCGAGTGGGACAAAATAAGATCAACTGGGGAAATCAGCAACAATTATGTTTTTGTGTTTCTAAGTGTGTGCCTCCAAGCCTGTTATCAAATTATCTATTGAACCACTGGACATATTTCAATTAATCTTGCAGCAATTGTGTGTGTGTGTGTGTGTGTGTGTTTCAGTCAACCTTTATTTATACAAGTTATTTTCACTGTCACGCAGACTCATTTTCAAGAGAGAGCTGTTTTAGACATACAACATAAATTTATATTAAACATATTTTGAATGTTTGTTTTTTAAATTTGTCATATGCAGGTTAGCACAAGGTCAACGGTGCAATGAAATATTCAGGATGAGAAGAATCCATTTGACTCGCTAAAAAAAAAAAAAAATACTAAAGCATGTAAGCGATAAGGGTACAAAATAACATACCAAAAAGTAAAAAAGAAATATAATATTTACAAGGTCCAAAAGAAATATAGTAAACAACAACATGGATGAATTTGCATGAATAAGTATTTCAAGGTAGCTCAAATGCACATGATATATATTGCACATACCTAACATACCCAGTAAACTGCACAGGTTGTGTGATGTGCTATTGCACAGGTAGTGAGTGACATTAAGAAGAATTATGGTAAATGGTAAATGGACTGTACTTATATAGTGCCTTTCTATTTTATTTCAAGATACTCAAAGCGCTTTACACTACAATCTGTGTCCTCATTTACCCATTCATACAGCACTCTACATCTCTACAAAGCTAATTGAACAAATCATTCTAATGAAACTAATCAGTGAATTATGATGGTAAAGTAGTGTCATACATGATACAGCCACATAATGCAGCAGCAGTAAACATTTTAGTTGTCACAGATGTGGCTTGGCGCAATGTTATTATCAAGAGTTCAGTAATCTGAACAGCGTGTGAATAATAATTGTCTTTGAGTCTTTTTGTGCATGATGGCAGACTCCTGTGTCGTCTGTCTGGGGGTAGTAGACAGGAGTCCTTGTGCTGGGTGGGTGTGGTCCTTAATGATGCTGCATGCTTTACACAGACATCAGCTGTGGTAGATGTCCTGGATGGTGTGGAGACTGCTGCCAATGATGTCCTCTAGTGCTTTCTGACTGGTGCAGTTCCCATACCACCCTGTGATGCAGCCTGTCAGCAGGCTCTCAATGGTGCACCTATAAAAGTTAGTGAGGATGCTGGTGTTCATACAAAACTTCTTGAAAACGTCTGTATTTAAAGCATGTACACCATCAGCTGATTAATTTTTAGACTACACACATGCACACACACACACATATTCAATTCAATTCAATTCAAAAATACTTTATTAATCCCAGAGGGAAATTATTTGTTGTTGTAACTCATTATCCTCATTTCATTAAGAGATGTTATAGATGCTGATGGCTGTAGACAGGAAGGATCTCTTGTAAAGGTCCATCCCACAGTGTCTCCTAAGAAACTGGCCGCAGATGCTGTCCGATCTGTCCACCCAGACTCGGCTGGCCTCTCAGTTTCCCGGGGCTGTAGGACTGCCCGAATGCTGGGCAGAACTCCTCCCAGTGCGATGGTCACTCCTCCCAGCAGTCTGCCGAGCTCCTCATTGCTGTGGACAGCCAACTTTAGGTGCTGAGGGACGATCTTGTCCTTCCGCTGTCATGAGCCGTGTTTCCTTCTAGTTCCAGGTTCTCAGTGGTCAGGCACTCGAGCACAGCTGGCAGGTAGATGAGAATGCATCCACAGAATTAAGATGTGGAGCTGTATATATATATATATATATATAT